TTAGGGCTGAATTAACATAGCTTTATATTCTATGTCCTATATATTATGTATATCTATGATATAGTCAACTTAGACTCACAGCCTAAATACCTTCAGCGCGCATTTAAGGCACTTGAACAGAAGCCGCAGCTCTTTGTCATAATAGCCGTGGGAGTAGCCGTAGATATTTCTTTGTTGCCAGCGACTTTTCCGTGCTTGCCGCATGCATTGAAAGGCTGCAATTTTCGGGTATCTTGTTATGGCCGAACGACCGACCAACACTGCAACTGACATGTGTGGACAGTGGCCTTCCATTATCTGGGCTGCAGAGTCCTTGGGCGCTTTTTGCCAGGCTCTGGGCGAAGATGGTGCTTGGGGTGCTCCGGGTGCATGTGAAGTGGCGTGATTTATAAGCGCTTTGCCGGCGATAATAAACACAGGACGAGTGCGAATGGACGACGAGCAGGCACGACGAGCAGCAGCAGCAGGAGCCGGAGCAGGAGCAGGAGCACGCCCACAGCTGGGGTACACAAACAAGAGGTGAAGTAATGCTGAGCAGTGGCCGTGGTGGCACCGGGCGTGGCAACACATGCAAAATAGTTTGGCATCAGCGCATATCCTTTTGCCTGGCCTGCCCACAGCCTTGCCTTGCTTTCAATTTCCTTTGTTCGCTTTGCGGTTGCATTGGCTTTGGGGCCAATTTTTTACTTGCGTCCGTTTGACAATAAAAATGGCAATAGACGAGGCCAGTCGAACCAACCTAACCGCACATCTTTTCAAGTGTCCAACACCTCGACCCCCCATCGACCTTCCTCTCTCTCTCCCTCTCTCCCCCTCTCTCTCGAGCTCGATAGCTGTGGGCTGGCCCATATCATTAATTTTGCACAAAAGGACATTTTGCCTTTTTGCCAAATGCAGGAATGAACCGATCAACGGAACGGCAACAGCAAATAAATAGGGCTCGCAACGACTTTGTTTCGGCAATGGCAGCTGCGCAGCTCTGCTGCGGTTGACTGAGGCAGCGCCAGCAACAGCAGCAGCAGCAGCAGCAGCAGCGACATCAACTGCGATTGCATGTTTGTTGTGCTGCAGCTTCCTTGGCATCAGCTTTGGACCGAGCCACGTTCCAGTCCGACTGTCTGTCTGTCCCTGTCTCTGTCCCTGTATCTGTCTCTGTCGCTGCCTTTGGCCTGCCCAATACGTTCGACATTTTGTCGGTCACACGCTGCGTTGAGTTTTGCCAAATTGAAATTGTTTTCCCAAACAACAGCGGGGCGTATACGTAATATGCGATTGTCTTTGCATTTGCCAAAACAAAATAAGAGACTTGCTTGAGTGTGTGTAGATTTGTCTTTGGATAAATTGATGACACAATCACGTGCTCTGAATTCGAGCATATAATATGCCATATAAGGAAAACCAAGTCCACACCAGACTCTATGAAAATCTCCCTTCAATCTCTCTCGATATAGTAGACATACAAATGACAAATAATATACACAAATATTGAATTTCCTATCTAAATGAAATAATAACCTATAAATATTCATAAAAATGGACTCCACGCCGCGTGGTCCTTCCAAGCCAGAGTCAGCATCGGCGACCACGGATGGCATCGAGGAGGGCAACATGGAAGATACATATTCTTTGGAAACGGAACAGCACGTGCCACTGCCATCGTTTCGTACTCCCCGTTCCATGTTCTACGGCTGCTGCATTGCCAAGGAGTGTAAGATTCACATTAGATTCAATTAATTTCTCCAATTGGGCATTCTCCTATTTGGGCATTCTAGATTTCATGGAGTACGTGAATCTGGTGGACAGTCTGCATATTACGCCACGCCTGATGATACAGCGGAAACCGTTTCGCAAGAATAACACCTACGGCCTGACGTTGACAATTCGCAACACTGCACTGGTATATATAGACCAATAACTTCTCATATTCCACACAAATGCTGAGTGCCTCTTTCTAGTATCCACGCAAAGTCTTGATCACTACGGATAGTCCCAGCGATACGACAATTGACATCTATCAACCGGAACTAAATACCTTCATCGAGACGGACAAAGTTTTGCAGGTGAAAATCAATATACGTAGCAAAACTGCGGTGCGTATTAATCGACCACGTTTCATATTCATCAAATCGTTTCATCCCAACATAACATTTGAAGTGCCCATTATCGGTAAAGTATACCTCATGGCATAGAGATATGCCATCAAGTTACAGGATAACTGCAATTCAAGCTAACCCAATCTCGAATTCACTCACAGTTTTGAAAAACATGATCGCACCGTTCATCTCGGAGCAAATAACGCTACCCCCCACAGTGCCCAAGGACAGATCCTATTACGAAATGATCATGTACAATCCAACTAAGGATCCCATAAATGTCAAGTACAGAAAGTAAGCTTAAATGGAGCTGAAGACTGGCAGCAGAAAATATTTTTAAATCCACCCATATTCGTTTCATTTCATGCAAATTGCAGTAGCTTCAAGGGACTCTCTCTGCACTATATGAATCACCACGTCATAGTTCCACATGACTATCTGAAGCTATTGATCAAATTTGATCCGAGGAAATTGCAGGAATACAATGGATTCTTCAATGTTAAATTTGGAACATGTAGGTATCTGGGAACAGCCCAGCAAAATCCAGTAAAGCTGGTCGCTCATCTCGTGCTATGCCCTTTCAGCTCCTCCCAGGAATATAGTGTTCAGTTATACACCGAAATCGATGAGCGCGTATGTAAATCGCGGCTACTTGCCCTTTGGTCAGACGAAATTTGGCGATGAAGTGCAGCGTTCGTTTTCTATATGTAATGAAAGCACTCATCCTCTGAGAATAGCTACCTCGTTCTACGCCAAAGAAACTGAGGACGAAGAGAAGTCCGCGGTTGGTTCGGCACGATCGACCATATCGGATAAGATAATCGAGTCGGCAGTTAGCATGCATAGCGTATTGTTATTTGATTTTGATGAGGATATCAAATCCGAAGTTCTTTCATACAAGGATACGTCTAGAATTCACTTTCATATAGATGTGCCGCACCAAATTGACCCGATTACATCCAGTCAGATACTAATCAAATTTAAACCAATCGACTATGAGGAATTTGCCGAACACGAGGTGCCACCATTCCGGGAGCGCACAAAAATCAATCTCTGTTTCACGGATAGCATGGAGTGCATTGAGACGCATTCTATCGTCCTCTTTGGGGAGATCAAAGGCATTGATGTCGAGATCTTTCCGACAGTGATTGACTTTCGGAAAATCTACCTGGGCGAGGAGCATTGCGCATTCATCAAAATTTTAAATGTGGATGGTCGGTAAGACAGCTATTGATGCATTTACCCAAAAATAATATCACTACGAGCAGGTGTTGTTGCCAAGGTGAAGTACGTGGAGTGCTTAGACCCGGACATCTGTGGCGTTCGTGTCACACCTGACCAGGGTTTCGAGTTGGAGCCGTGCGAGCGTGGGATCTTTCACTTATCGTTTTTTACCATTGTGCCCGCACGCTTTAACGTGACGCTGCGCTTTAAAGTTGTAAACGGCCTCTATCACAATGTCAGCGTAAAGTAAGCTCCTTCATGCTCGGAACTGAAGCCCAGCAACTTTGAAACTTCTTTTTCATTCAAGGGGCATGGGCCAACACATTCAGCTTCGCACATTCCCGCAACTTGTCGAATTTGGCACAATTCCATTTGGTGTGCCACAGAAACGCTTTATGCTGCTCATGAATCCATTGGCCGTGCCCATTACCTTGCAGGTGAAGCCGACGGAAGATGGCTTGGAACAGCCGTTGGTCTTTAATATTCGAGAATCCGAAGTATTGCCCATAACGATACGAGATCCCATTAGACAATTGCAGCAAGTGCATGACGATCTACTCGCGGAAACCGATTTGACTGATAACATTCAGATAACGGACGTCGAGTTGGAGCAGCAATCCGTGAAATCGCTTTCAATCAACGAATCGGAATATAGCCTTCAATTTGAAGAGGACATCATGGGTGAGTACAATCTACGAACTCCACTTGAAGCAACTCACTTGACTCCCTCAGGTTATCGAAAATTCCGCAAACTTATGTTACATCTGCTTGCCCCATAGATAGTGTACCTGAAATGGCCTCGCAGCTGCTAAAAAACCTAAAGAAGCAGAAGATATTCGACAAATCCGAGACGGACAAACGCGTCATTCAGGAGGCTTTGACCAGCCTCTTGAATACGAATTACTTTAACATCATGAAGACACACAACAATTTCATATTCCTCGACTGGAACGCCATACCCAGCTATCCCGCTGAAGTCTATTGCGATAACGAGATTATCTATCTCAGACCAAATACGGGACGTAGCATAACCATATTGATAGTACCAAATCGGGTGGGCTACTTTCATCGTTCGCTGACCGTGCGAATCTGCCCGGCTATACCCCTAGCGAGCTCAGATTCGTCTGAAGATCAAATGAAGATGCTGATCAAATCGGAGTTTCTTTGCTCCAAACTCTGGTTCGAGTACACCTGCAGCACCCCAGACATCATTTGGGAGAGTTTTGTCGATCTCACCGATCGCATTATGTACGCGGGTGAGGAATATAACTTCGAAATGGAATTCGAGAATCCCTCCAATGTCGGCGGATTCGTGCACTTTGATGTTATTGTAAGTTCTCAAAGAAATCTCAAAGAGAGAGCAGAAAGGAAAGGGAGTTTTAATTAAATACAATTATTGCTTACAGCCAAACGAAATGGGGTTCAGTGATGGCAACTGGAAGTATTACATTGGCTCCAATTCCGTTTCGATTGCCCATTGCTTTGTCATGTTCCGTATTCTGGGCATTAACAAACTATCGGGTCTTCTCAAAATTGTCGGCGCCCCACACGCATTTCCTTTTCATTTGTACGCAAATATACTGCCCACGGAAATACGCATTTCCCAGATGTCTGTGCACGTCCGTCTGCAGGTTTTCGAGCTGCACAAGCATTATTTGTATATCGATAATGTTTCGCCGACGAATACAGTGCTCTCCATGAAATTGGTAAGACCTTCTATCAGATGGGGATCTGTCCTATTAAATGTACACCTTTTTCCCCTAGGAAAACGTCGACTTTCAGTATCTCACAACGAGAGGTGGAAAGTTGTCGCCCGAAGGCCAGAGCATGTATACGACTTTGGTGTCAATGTTTACAGATCCAGATCTATATCATAACACATTGTACATTGATCTGCAGTTCGATAATGTCATTGAAATACCGATTACATTTTTAGTAGAGGGAGTCCCAATATACTTTGATCCCGACATAAGAGATGGCCTAGATGCGGGCGTACTCTTTACGGATACTCAGGAACATTTTCTGGCCATGATATATCCGTACCATTATAGCGTAAAGCTGACCAATAAAGGATTTCGTTCGTATCGCTTGAATGTGACACGTCTAACCACCTACAATCCCGCAAAGAAGACAAGCGCCTGCGTCAATCAGCCGTTGACTGCCCGCTTTGACATATATCCCAAGGTCGTGGAGCTGCACCCACGGGCGGACGACTTCATCGACATAATGATGACCAGCTATGAGGAAGGGCTCTACTTCTGTGACTTCATGTTGGTGGTGACGGATCTGAAGTATCCACAACGCAAGCACGTGATACGCCTTACGGTACAGGCGCAGTTTATCGAAGGCCATCTTACGTGGGACCGAAAGTGCCTTAGCTTTGAGTTCCAGCCCAGTTATCCGCTGAAGCAACGCCCACAGATCCGCACCGCCGTGCTGTGCAGTCAGGCCAGTATACCGTTCGACGAGGTATTGCTCGAGGCGGTGGGTCCATTCCGCATCAAGGAGCTGTACGAGCATTCGTTTGAGAAACAAATCAAAGTGTCTTTCGAAGGGTTCGAGCAAAAAGAGATTTACATCACTCTCAATAACTCGACGGTGAGGCAAATGTTTTGCAAGCTAGTGGAGGGGCGCATCAATGTGCTTGCCGTTAGCAAGCCACAAAAGCATCTCAGTCTGCGGCTGACCGTGTTGGTGCCCGAAATCCACATAATACAGCCCGAGCTGGTGCTCTTCGATCGTGGCCGTGCATACAACTACAATGTGGATATCATCAATGACGGCTGCACCACCGCCGATTACAAATGGAAACGCATCGAGGAGTCGAACATATTCATTGGTGGTGATGATTCGGGTGATGTGGTTGCCGAACTGCTCTCCGATATCATACGCACTCTGGAGTACAACTTCAGCTGTGCGGAGGAGGAGAACATGACAATACGCTATCAGAAGTGTCGCTGCCAGTATCACAGCGAACAGGAGAATGACTCACTGATCTTCGATATACTCGAGGAGATACTTAACGAACTGGATCTCAGTCATAGTCGCGTTCATATACCCCTAGACATGATGCCTGATGTGTACGATGATAGTGAGGTGTTCAGTGATTCGAGCTATGTACATCACACAATTGATTACATTTTGGATCAGCTGAACCTGGAGTCCAGCCAGCGGCTATCTGAACCCTCCTCGGAGTACTGCTACTCGGATCGTTTCATTTACTTCTACGAAAAGACTGGACACTTGCGGAAGGTGGAGAGCAAGGCGTGCTTGATCCATCTGCCGCATGTTCGTCGCTCCCACGAAGTGAAAGCCGTATTCCAATTGGATGTGGTGGGCGGACGCAGTCAATACTTGTCAGTGATCCTTGTCAATCTGGCGCAGAAAATTAAATATCTAAAGGATAATGTCTACCTCAATGTCAGGGTTCGTATTTAGACTCTGGCGAACTCTCTTGTCTTCCCCTAACTCCTCTTTTCATCTGCAGCCCTGGTACGAGCAATTCAATACTGTAATACGCATCTCGAATGTCACAAAATATCCCTTACAATTGAACCTCACGAGTCCAGAGATAAATGAGAGGCGTCTTATCGATGGCTATGCCAAAATAATGCAAGATGAGGAAATGTTCATGGAACCACTGGGTTACGATAAAGTCAAAATATCTGGCATTTTAGGCTTCAATGAGAATTTCTTACGCATATTCAACGTGTTGATCAATAACACGGCCAGCAGCTCGTTCCGGCTGCGCGGTCAGGGCATAATGCCCATATTGAATCTGACGACGCCTTTGCCCATGGTTGAACAGATCGTGGACGATATTATAGAGGAATACGTATATATGCGTAAGATTTACAACTACGAGATATTCAAGAGCATTACGGAAGTCGACAAAGATGCCATGGGTTTTTTTGAGGAGGAGGCTGAACAGGAGGACAAAATAACCACCGATTTTACTGAGCTCTCCGAGAGCGACGAGGACATGCCCAGTGAACGGCAGCGCTATCATGACATTCAGCTCTTCAAGATGGTGCAGACGTATGTGCTGGTCAATAACAATCAGGAGCTACCGAATGCCGTGGTGCTCAATCAAATGCTCGTCACGGAGCGTTATCTACATAGGCTAAGCGTGAATATGGAGACATTTGTCTTGCATCAAAAGGTTTATGAGAGCTATGTCAACCATCACAAGCCGCAGGGCTACAGGCTGCCCGTCACTGCCAGGCACTTCACTGTCCAGCCACTGCCCTGCGAACAACTCGCCTATATTCTGGATTTGGGCCCACTGATGCGTGACACCCTGCGTCGCTTTGAGCTGCGTTTGCATTTCTTTGGACCCGGCAAGCTGATTGCATCGGCCCGCACTGCTGTTCGCATTCCGGGTCTCTTTGTGGACTTTAACATAGAGAATCAGTAGGTATCCAAAAGACAATTTACTATGAACCTAATCCAATAGTCTCGGTCAACCAACAGTACCGACAAGAAGTTCACATTTTGGGCCGAGAAGTGTACGGAGCTGGAGTACTTTAACAAGACCTATCGCAACATATGGGAACGCTTAATGGATGCGGATACAAATCCCAAATTGAAGCATGCCCACTCGTTCGATTTCAATGATTTTATCCATCAGCGTGATGTAACCGAGAGGGATCGCCACTTGATCGAGGAGTACTATAATAGCTTAAATCTTTCCGTTTATCCCGATCACAAGCATCACTTCACACTGGCCCGCGTCCACACGGCTCACCACTCGAATTTCTCCGGGGTTGAGATGCGCATGGTGGGCTACTTTAAGCCGGAGTCTAAGCACTATCCGCTCGATCAACGCATCGAGGACTATATTTATATCGATGTGAGTTGTTTTATCCTCCTACATTTTTTAGACTACCTTCCAATGTTCCCTTTTGATTCCCCTTTGATACGATCTCTTCTCTTTGCCCTCACTAATTCGCCTCCCCTATATCTTACCCTTCTCGCTCCTTCAGCTCCACATGGGACCTACTATGCCCATACTGCTGCGTGGCATAATCAAGGCGTGATTGACTCTGGATGCTCGCTTCAGGCCGATTACCGCTTTATTATAATCGTTAAACTGAGAATGTGCAATTAGTTGAGTATTGACTAAATAAAAAGGCAGAACAGTCCCTTAGCAGTACATGTTGAGTTGGCGGAAAAAGTAGTGGAATATTAGTAGGACTAGAAACGAGCTGGTGACGGGCAAACCCGCTGCCTTGATCCAGCCCAGTACGTTGAAGTCATCCGGGTATAATTCAAACTGTTCCGTAGGCAGCTCCCCGCAGTTGGTAATGACCACCGGATCGATTGGAAAATCATCCGTATCGGTTTTCACCTGTTCCAAAAGAGAGAGAGAGAGAATCGTAATATACCCTTTAAGAATACATATGTCCAATGCGTCACTCACATCCTCTATAGCATATATGGTTTCCATGCCCTCTAAGACTTTGCCAAAGACCGTGTGCTTGCCGTCCAACCACTTGGCACCCACCGTGGTCACGTAGAACTGACAGCCATTCGTGTTGGGTCCCCGATTGGCCATGCCCAGGTAGCCGGGTCGATTGTGCTCAATGCTCAGCCCCTTCTCCTCGTCCTCAAAGTAGTCGCCATAAATGCTGATGGAACCAGTCCCATCACCATTGATTATATCGCCGCCCTGTACCAGAAACCGATCCACGACGCGGTGAAACGTGGCGCCCACATAGCTGCTGCCATTGATGCCGCGCAAGCAAATGTGCCGGAAGTTGGCCACCGCCTTGGGCGCCACCTGGCCAAAGAGACCGAATGTGATCCGACCCAGCGACTGCTTCTTCTGCTTCACATCCATATAAATGCGAGAAGTCACAGTGAAGCTCAGCGCCTGACCCACCGCGCACAATGCCAACAAATGCACGAGAAAGCCAAGTAACCTCATGGTGTGTCAAAAAATAAACAAATTATTTTACTTTGGTCCGATGGAATAGCCAAACGCAACTAAATTGAAAAACCTGTGATCCAAGCAGCAAGCGCGGAAGAAGCCCTACAAATTTTAGGTTAAGTGCAACAAACTAGTCAACTAGTCAACCCAAATACACACACAAGGCGTGCATACATGTGAAAGTATATACATATATGTGTCATTGATTTTTATTGACATTCCTTTACACATTCTGACGCATTCGTATATGCATACCTTTAAGTTAGCACTATACAGGTGTGCTTTAAATATAAATAAGTAAGAATAGTGAACACTAAATAAAATTTTATATAAATAATTTACCAACTTTAAATAATTAGAGATAGATAAATGGGAATATATAAACGTTCTTAAGTTTATAATTATTTTAATTTTTATATTTTATCCAATTTTTTAAAATTATGTATTAATATTTAAATTTTTTGTAAATATTTTGTTCATATCACTATCAATTGGAATTATAAATAAATCAATTTGTTTGTCTACTTTTGGATGTAACAAATTAAATCACCAATTTTCATATAAAAACAGTTTTTTGTTTTGTTTTAATTATTTGAATAATTTTATTTTTAAAACTCATTATAAAATTTTTATTTAAATTAAATTTCCAAATAATCGCAATAAATATATGCCCTCTAGTTGATCATTTTAAATTATCAAAGATTTATATATATTGTACCAATATACAGACAAATATATAAATTTTATTTTATTTTACATAGTATTTACATAATAAATTTTAGTTTAGTTAGTTTAGCTTAAAAATAGCGAAATATTTTAAAATTTTAAATGTGCCAGTTAAAAATTAAAATAATGTCGATCAATTTAGATAAAATTTTTTTTATTTTAAACAATACCCTTTCGTTTTAAAATGTTTACAAATTGGAGTCGAAATATGTTTATATTTATCGTTAATTGTTTTGTTATTTTTATTTTTAGGGTTAACCCAATTTGGTCAAATATTTCCTTTAAAAAGACTTCAAATCTGCAATTATTCATTATATATTCATATGAACTATTAGTCCCATTAAAAACTTTTCCATATGTAATACGATGCCCCAAAGTCCAAGTTAAGCAAATACAACAATCTGGAAAATCAGTAAAAATACATGTTTGGCTATACGGAGTTGAATGGAGAATCTCCTTCGTCTAACGTGAAAGCACACGGACTTAATTAAACAATACTCAAGTTGTTCTTTTATCCAATTTTATTCTATATTATTTCAAAAAAATAAATTTCAACATTATTACTGCTAAAATGCAAATCGTTTGAACTGATAGCAACGGGTATAAAAGTTAGCCTTATTAAAAAATTAAAAACTTCACCTACGATATGACAGTTTAGTAAAGTACATATAATTAAGACTAAGAGGAAATAAATGCTCGCTTCGGTTAGCTATGCCTATTCAAAATCTATTTAAACATACAACTCTTGATAATCAAAGATAATTCGTAACTTTCTTCAAATGACTTGGTCTTTATTATTAATATTAACAAGCTAACCTAACGAATATTGAAGTTGTGGTTCATAAAATTAAAAATAAGTTCCGTTTTACTTTTTACATTATCCTAATCCGTATGAAAGATATTTGATATTAACATATTTGTGTTACATATAGGTTTACATATCTATTTACAGTATAACGCCTGGCGAGGCAAGTGCCTCTAGCTATCCTCCTCCTATTGGCGTTCCAGGCTACAGTCTTCATTGGCTGGGGTAACAGCGTGGCTTGTGATCCGCATTAGTCTGGGATCACAGTCCATATCGCAGAGATTTATGTGAATATACATGGGGGCCGGGGGTGTGATTGGGATTGTGTGCAAAGCTGTGGCGCTCTGTGAGATCTATATATGCGAATCTTCCTCGGAAGATTCGGGCGAATCCTACATACGCTTCTTCTGCGGATGCACGTACTTGCAGGACTTGCCCATGTGGCAGTGACCACGCATAAACTGCTTGCAGATGCCCGTGTTGTTGTTGCCACCGCCCCCGCCACGATTGGAGCCAGAGCCCGCTGACCGCCAATTGCCGCCGGAGTTGTCCTGGAAATTGTTGCCGCCGCTGCGCCAATTGCCGCCGCCAGCGCCTCCTCCGCCTCCGTTGTTCTTGCGATTGTTGTTCATGTTGTTGCGTGGTCCGCCACCATTCATCATGGGTCCCATGCCATTGGGCATCGGTCCGTTCATCATGGGCCCATTGGGTCCCGGTCCCGGGCCCGGACCAGGTCCAGGTCCGTTCATCATCATTGGCGGATAGTTCATGTTGTTGAAGCCCGGAGGCCCACCAAACGGACCGCCAGGACTGCCAAACTGATTGCCCATAAAGTTGGGAGGCATGCCAGGTGGAGTGCTCATGTCCATGGGACCAGGAGGTCCGTTCATGGGATTCATCATGGGACTGCCCATCTGATTCTGCCAGATGGGCGGCGGACCCGTTTGTGGTATATTCATGGGCATCTGTGACGTTGGATTTGGTGGCATATTCCCCGCGCCGGGCATGTAATTGTTGCCGAACGGCTGGAAGGGATTGTTGGATGGCATCATATTGGGATTCATACTGGGATTCGCGTTGTTCATGTTGTCACTGTAGCCCGTCTCATTGCTGGCCGCACTGTAGCCCTTCGGCTCCGGCCAGGGCAACAAGCTGTAGTCATTGACCGCATCCGGATTGCCAGTTAAATCATCAATGGGTATAATTGGAATGTCGTGCGAGAAGTGCGGCTCCAGCTCCGCCTCGGCTGGGCTGTCCGGTATCATGTCCGGCGAGAAGTAGAGAGCCCGCAACGTAGTTGCCTCTCGTTCCGCCTGCACCACACGCTGCTTGGACAGATTGCCATTGGGATGATCGGGCACATTGTCCACCTCGATCAGCGGACGCCACTCCATTTGCGGCTCCATGATATCGTCGAAGCCCCGCCGCGCGATGTTCAACGCATCGCGTTCGCTGTAACGCTCCATGTTCTTCATTTCAAGGAAGCTCTGCTTGGTCACATTTACGCGCTCCGATCGATCCACCTCGAAGTAGCGAATTTGCGTCAATTTCTCATCAGGCTGCCAGGTGAGCTTCTTCTTGGGTCCCCGTCGTCGATGCAGCATCAGCACGCCCGGCGGTCCATTGGGTCCGCAGCCAGGTCCTGGTTTCTTGGGCTCTTCGGGCGTGTCGTCCGCATCATCAGCACTGCCATCGCCATCGCCATTCTCCCCCGCCGACTTCTCTCGCTGCACCTTCTGCTCAATGTCCTCCTTGACCTTCTTCAATGGTATATCATCATCGTCCGCATCAGTTTCTTTGCCTGGCGACCCCGTTCTGCTGTCATCATTTTCCTTGGTGCTATCATCAGACTTATCCTCACTCTTCGATTCATCGAGAGTGTCCTGATAGAACTTCAATGGCGCCAGCGGCGCATCTTTCTCCGTGGGCGAAGCAGCTGCATTAAGTCGCTTGCGCTTGACAACCTTCTTGGGCTCTATGGAGGCAGCGAGCGCATCCGAGAAGAGATTCGTTTCCACCAGAGTTGAAACTGCAATAAATTAACAACAATTAACATAAATTTAAGTAACATAGTATATATGGAGTGGGTTCTATTCAAGATCTTTACGCACTACACAGGTTTTTGCTTTTGTTGCGATCGTAAACAAATTACCAACTGATTAGAGACGACTCAAAAACACACACACAACCCGCATACTACAAAAAAAGGCTATAAAAAAACCCCAACGTGCTTTGACACTAGCTTTATCTATGCATACACCCCGTACGACTGACTGCATATGTATGTATGAATTCATACATATGTATAGATGCAGTACCGAGCACACAAACCCGAAACTGAGACGAATCCAAAGCAGCTGATTTGACTAACTCTATAAACAAACAAAACAAAATTATATATATATAAGCAAAATACGAGTTTGTATAAAACCTCCTAAGCACCCCTCGCTGAACAACTGATCCAAGTGATCAACGCGTGGCTTGTGCCATGTTGCAGGTCTTCAAGTGAAAAGGCGGCCAGGTTCTTAGACCTTGGTAGCATCAATGGACGCGCAACAGAACAGTATTCAATATAATTTTCGATCTTTCGCTCATTTTTGCAGAGGCAATTATACATATAGATATCAAAATAAATGAATTGGGTGTACTTGTCAGAATATCGCTGTGGCCATCATAGCCAGCGCTAACTGTAACGTGCTGTCATCATTTCGGCTACCAAACTTTAAGAACAGCCAGCTCAAAGTTGATATTTTTATATATAGTTATATAATTATATATTCTTCATTTTGTTTAATGCATCATCATATTTTATTTCAATAGAAAAAATATATTTTTCTAGAGGAAAGTCGTATTTATTTTTTGTTTTCGTTTTTTCTTATCATTTTCATTTTTTTCTTTTCTTTTTTTGTATTGTATGTAGTAGGTTAGTAAGCTGCATCTACATACCTTAAAGCTAAATCATTAACGTGTATTGCATAGATTTAAAGGTAAATGTAATTGTCTATACTTTTTGTTTGTTTTGTATTTTAGGTTGAGTTTTAATACTTAACACCAAGCCGACTTGCCGCCGCACCGGCTGTCCACTGAAGCGCATGCGCCGTTCAACATGGGCTCTGCTCTTGCCTCTGAAGCCCCATCCGGGCGTCGCAAATACGTCCGCTGGCCAGGCCGCTAGTGTCCCGAAGAAACAGGCTCTAGGTTGCTGTCTAGTTGTCTGTCCATTTGTATGCGTAGCTTCCAACTAAATCAAAAAATGTACTTCAACTTTAATACGAACGGTCGCCTGACCACCCGAGGGACGATCAGCTCGCAAAGGGCCAATATTTATTGGTTCCGAACCAAACCATCGCCTAACAATTGTGCAACCCACCCATCAACCAATCAATTAATCAATCGATCAACCACCCAAGCGAAAAATTATACTCCTTAAAATGATTTCAACAAAAATACACACAAGTGCGTCTCAAATTCCAGCAAACAACAAAAGCAAAAACCTTCAGTTTCTGTAAAGATAAAACGGAGAGATTAGTAATGAGCTCTATGGAATGATGCTTACTCTTTTTGGGTGCAATCAGCTTAACGGATCCCGGCCGGTCTACATGTCCGCTCAGATTGTTGATGTCTATCTTGGGCTTCTTCTCGGCGGGCGTATCCCTGCTAGGCGGTGGGGAAGGTCTCTTCAGTGCCGTCGCCGGCGGCAACACCGATGCTGCTGCTGATGTGGGTGCAGTGGACGTGGGCTTCTTCAGACCTTTGCGCGAGGGTGGGGGTGGCGCCTCCTCGGTGAGACCATGGGAACGAAATTTGGACTGATACGTCTTTACCGTGGCCGTCTTTTCGGTATCACGGCGTATTTCGATCGATATCGATGCCTTTCTATTAGGTATGGATATCGATTTGGGCTTCTGCACATCGGCATCACCCTCTTTAGTTTTTTTCTCGGATGCAGTCGCTGTTGGCGGCGGCATCAATTTATTATCTTTATCATTCTCCTTTTTAGAGGAGGCGGCTGTTGACGACGACGAAGACGCCTTGTCTTTGTCCTTATCGCGACTGCGATCTTTGGACGTACTAGAGTTTGACGATGACAACGATGACGAGGATTTTGAGGATTTATGCTTGTTAGATGATGAGGATGAGCTAGAACCCTCCTTGCGATCTTTATCTTTACTCGAGCTAGAACTGGAACTTGATCGTGCCTTGTCCTTGTCACGATGCTTGTCGCTCGAGCTACGATGGGACGAAGATGATGAACTCTTCGAGGAGCTCTTTGAATTCGAGGATGACGAAGACGACTTATGGCTAGACGAAGAGGATCTGTGACTACTAGACGATTTCCTATCCTTGTCACGATCTTTCTCAGACCGCCTACTCTTGTCGCGCGCACTTTTGTGCTTCTTATCAGCCTCGTCATCGATCTTTGAATCATTTTTACTACTATCATCTAAATTAGTTTTATCAGAACTTTCTAAATGAGCATTAGACTCGGTCCCTCTGGACTCTGAGCCCGTCTCAGACGGTGGTAAGGAACTATCGTCATCATTATATACACTATCTGCGGTTGCTAACGATGACGCAGATTTGTCAACAGTTTTGATTGTTATAACTATATTGCGTTTGCGCTCGTCCGAAGTAATCGTGTAGTTTTGCTTAACGGGCGCACCGCCGCTGTCTGTACTGTCCGACGAGCTGTGCTCCATATGCGAGTCCTTCTGATCTGCTCCAGAACCGCTCTGCGACTCGACGACCCCACTAGGTGAACTGGTTACTGCTGTCCCACTTGGATTTTCAGTAACGATTTTAAGCCACTGCTCAACCAACCGCTTAGCCAATATACGAACACCTGAAAGTGACAAATGGGAAGAATCGGGGCAAGTGCCCATTGCTTGGATTAGTTACATTATACAATAAACTATGTTGACATCCAGATTCTAGTCGACCCACACTTACCTTCATTGCCCCCATCTTTACAAAGCCCCTTCACCAAAATGGGCGCCGAATTTATTTTTAATCTATTTACATCAACAGGAGAAAGTAGCAAGAGTTCAAGTATTTCTTGTACGAGAGGCCAGTTCATTGTACGTATCGCATCACTCAGCCAAGTGCAGACCAAGGCCCAGCCACCAACACTCATAAAATCTCCAAGTAGTTCCGTTTTAGTAGATTTTAAAATCTGAACGTAAACGCACTTCGAGACTAGCTTTTTTGAATATTTCGTCATTAACCTATAAAACAAACGAAAAAAATTAACACTAGAGGGCGCCTTGTTGATTGCCGAAATATTTGACAACTTACCCAGCTATACGTTTTACTTCTGTCGCACTAAGTATACCACCATTGGTATCCAACAGCACCCGCAGGCACTTTAATAATTGTAAGGGCACTATGCGTGGCTAAGAAAAAATAATAAAATAAAAATAAAATTTTAGTACAGTGAAATCGTTGAGAATAAACTGCCTAAAACAGAATTACAACTCACCATATTTTTATTTTTTTTTTTCACTATATGGCAACGCCAAATAGCAAACACACTACTGCCGTCTCTTTCTAACTCAAAATTGATATATAAACACCACGAATATTACGTAATGCACCAATTTTAGGCCATCAATTTGCAATCTTTTGTTGATTCAGATCTAAAAATGTAGAAAGACACCACTCAGTATTTATGCACAAACAAATTATACTTAGGAAACTAATTATATCGAACAAACACTTTGCAAACCAGGTTACCTAGCGACGCAATAAACTTTATATCCATATGGAAAATTTTCGTACATATGTTTACTCCATCTCCTAAAGTCGCTAAATAATCACCAAAGTCCTTCAAGTTTAAATGGACATGAAAAGTTAATTTCTGTTATGCGACTGGACCAATTTCATTAGCAATTCGATTATGATGAAAACGTGCTTCGCGTTCTAATGCTCTTTTCGACCATGGAGTTTCTAAATCCAATCGACTAAGTGTAATCGATACTCGAAAATGAACATGCAACCCTGAAGCACTGAAGCTGACCATTCGACCGAAAAAAAATTGATATATTTTGTATATGTAATGAAATATTCTTCTATACCAGTTTTTATTGTAATGATTGTATTGAACACGCGCTTGATTTGTTTGATGTAGCCTCCTAGCTAGCTGCAAACAAATTTTTGATTCTCGATACTCTTAGAGAAAGTTGGCAGCGCCGTAACGTGGCCACGTAGACGCTTCGACGCCATATTGATTTTTCACTAAATTGATCACTAATACGCAATATGCGTGAAAATATTTATTTTTACGATATAATACCAATGTTTTCCACTTGAAATGAGAGAACTACCAAATTATATCAACTTTATGCAAATTTTGCACGTCACGTCCACGCCCCCAAGTGTTTTTCTTTGCTTTTAATCCGGCACACTTCGCTTTACGTATATTGATGAAATTTTTACAATGCCTACCAAAAATTAATTTAATTCAATTCTTTGTCTACAGGATTTTCTTATTTTTAATGTCGACGAATTTTATATTTTTATTGCGTCTCAAGTTATAGGCGAAAGTGAAAGTCCGGGCCTCAACGAAAATAACATCGACCAAACTCACCCAAAACCAACAATAGAATGAAAACTGAGTGGAAAAATTTTAATCGACACACCTTGCTTGAGAATCTATCGATATTTTTAAAATAGGGTGAAGTTCGATAAGTTTTGGCACTGTGCTGCTACGTCACAAATTATTGGAAATAAAATGCCAGCAGCCTATTTTATTTATAATGCAATGTAATTTGCTTGAGTTAGGAATCAAATGAAATATATTTTGAAGCTATCTCATCCAAACAACCTTGTATATGTTAAGTAAAGATTTAGTTATTGCTATCGATGGTTGAGAGCTCAGTAGATGTTATCGATTATTGTTATACGGGCACACTTTCTACGCAGCTGTTCAAAACAAACGTGCACGGCAAAGTTTCTCAAATCAAATTCCATCTAAAAGGGTTTTTTTTTTTAATTCAAAATATGAGCGACAATGAAAGTGAGGGACCCACAAACCAAAGTACGGAGCCTGTGGACAATGCGTGGTCATTGAAGATACCTGCATTCAAGCCCGAAGACAATCCACATGGTCTGGTAGAGGAGAGCTCCTTTGCCACGCTCTTTCCAAAATACCGAGAGAAATATTTAAAGGAAGTTTGGCCCCTAGTGCAACAATGTTTGGCCGAGCATCATCTGAAGGCCGAACTAGATCTGATAGAGGGCAGCATGGTAGTAAAGACGACACGCAAGACATGGGACCCATATATCATCATTAAATCCCGCGACATGATTAAATTGATGGCACGCAGCGTGCCATTTGAGCAAGCGAAACGTGTCCTTCAGGACGATACCGGGTGTGATATCATTAAAATTGGTAACCTGGTGCACAAAAAGGAGAAATTCGTAAAACGGCGACAGCGTCTCATTGGCCCCAATGGTGCCACTCTAAAGTCTATTGAGCTGCTCACCGATTGCTATGTTCTGGTGCAAGGTAATACAGTCTCGGCCCTCGGTCCATATAAGGGACTGCAACAGGTGCGCGACATTGTACTGGACACCATGAACAATGTGCATCCCATTTATAATATCAAAGCTCTGATGATCAAACGCGAACTAATGAAAGATCCCAAGCTTGCCGGCGAGGATTGGTCACGGTTTTTGCCCAAGTTCAAGAATAAGAACATTAGTAAACGCAAGCAGCCCAAGAACAAGAAGCCTAAGAAGGAGTACACACCATTCCCGCCCCAACAGCCAGAGAGCAAGATCGACAAGCAGCTGGCCACGGGCGAATACTTCCTCAACAAAGAGCAGAAGCAGGCCAAGAGACAACAGGAACGCACTGCCAAACAAGCAGAAGCAGCTAAGAAACAAGACGAGCGTCGTAACAAGGACTTTGTGCCACCAACCGAGGACACGCCCGGTCCATCTCGCAAGCGTGCTGCTGAGGACAATAAAGTCGATGTGCAGGCTCTGAAAGCCAAGTTAATGAAAGCGAATAAAAATAAGAGAAGTTGATCTACAAAGTCCTTCAATTAGTTTCTAAGCTATACCCATTTTTATAAAAACAATAAAAATAACGTTGCCTATCTAGTTTACCAATTGTTTAAAATTAATTATACTGATCACGAATATAACCTGCTATTTTTTTGCGATGAGCGTTCAGGTGGTGTAAGCAAATAAAGTAAAATTTTACGGACCTGCTAGATAACAAACGTAAAAATAAATATGCAAACTTAAATATAACAATATTTTATTAGCTGGGTACTTTTAACGTATTTATATTTATTATAAATTGAATTTATTAGGTGGCAACGCTGGCGCTCTCTCAATGCTATCGCTCACTGTTGCGCTCTCTCATCACAACGGCTGACACTTTGAGGCTTAGCTCTTGTGGCTCTGGCTAACTGAGCTAGAGCTAGCCGTGTTGAGTTAGCCAAGTTAGTATCTTGATTTTGGTCTGGCCTGACGTACTAAACGCGGCCACAGCGGACAACGCGTGTGCTTTTTAAATGACTACAATTACGGCGACATTGCGGCTACAACTTATTTCCTTTACTTTCCATATAATTCGCAAACAAGGAGTGTGAAATAATAATTTATTCAGTGTTTAAATTACGCACACAGTTGCGTATGTATAAGCCAAAAGCAAGCTTTGATTAATATAAAAAAAGTGCTGTAAAAATTGAGAAGAACGAACGAAAGTGGAAAGCCAAAATAGAAGGAAGGCGGACGAGAATACAAAAGCACAACAAGTAAACGGCAGGTAAAAGAATAAAGAAAACAAAAAAGTTGTGGACGAGCGGCTCTCTTAAGCTGAGATTGGAAGTGTGGAGGGAGGGAGATAGATGTCAAGTGTGAAAGAAAGAAATTAGATAAAAGCGCAAGCCCAATTACAGTTAGTTTTTGTGTGTGTGTGTTTTTTTTTTTTAATGAAAATAATAAGCCAGCGTTAATGTCTGTGAAGTATTTAATGGATGAAATGCGTTAGGCATGCCCTGCCTAACACAATCAAATATTTTAAAAGAAAAAAAAAACGAGTTAAAAAATATTCGTATCGAACGTGACAACAAAAATTCGAAATTCGTGCTAATTAGCAAAAGAATGCGCTAATATGAGAAAGAGAGAGGGAAGATGTGTTATATTTGGATGTAGAATGTCTCTGTGTGTGTGTGCATATTAGTTATTGATAAATGCTAACAAGGCAGAGTTGTACTTGTGTGTGTATTTACAGGTGCGACATATGTACACATATGTATACATGCACACACTTAAATAACACCAAATTTGCATATCGAATACCTTTAAATGCTGTCAATTAGTTTGATACTCAATCAATTATTCAAACGATAAAGTAAAACTAAAAATATAGAAAATGTGAGCTTTTCCCTTTTTTTTATAAAAAAAAAAATAATAAAAAAAAAAGATAATAAAAAATATAAGAAATAACGTTCTTGACATACCGTATTAAATAAATATGAACATATCTGCATATCAGGTAAACAATTAAATAAAGCGGTCAATTAGAGTATATAGGCACACACACGCACTTACATACGTACATGTATGGAAGTAACCGATAACGCAGGTCTCTATGAATTAGTGAATGAATTGAACAAAAGCATTGAAAATCAATACGAGAAACCTGCCGCCGCTCCCAGTTTGTATGCATACCTCTACCTTTGGTTGGTGTTATTGCCCATGCTATGTACAACACACTCACACACACATGTACATCTATATATACATTAAGGTATTCGTTTTACATATGTGTACCTAACAGTAAGCGGCCACTTGTGTGAGTGCTTGTGGAAAAAAATCATAAAAAATATCAACAGAGCAAGAGAAAAACAGGTGGAAAAGAAAGCTAAAAAATGCGGTCGTCAAAAAGTAAAGTTGCAGCAGACGCAGCGGGAACAAATCCGAGTTGCCTTTTTAAAGCTCACACAAACAAAAAGACAAACACAGACAAGCACACACACATAGACGCTCAAACAGAACTCAAGTAGGAGAGCCGAGAGTCTCACTCTCGGCGCACCTGGCAAGCGGTAGTCACGCATGCGCATGTGTATGAACGGGATGGCGATAGTGTACTTGCTTGGGGTGTCGGTGTCGATGTCTCCCCATTTGTAACTGAGCCGCGAGTCTCACTTGTTCACAAGCTGGTTTTTCACAAGGGGCCTACCAACAAAAACAACAATAAACAACAACAATAACAGCAACAACAATATCCAAAGCACACTTAGCAATAACAAAAACGTTTGTTGTTTTGCCATTTGTTGCTCCATTGGAATGTTTTTTAGATAAACAAAACAAAAAAACGGAGAAATACTGAAAAATAATATATAAGTCAGGCAGCGCCGCTTATCTGTATTATTACTCATACATACATTCACTGGCGGGGGAATGCAGCTTAAGCCATTCACATGCATACATAAACAAACGTGTATATAAGTAAGTAGTAAGCACATTAAGTGTGTATATATTTTGATGTTAAAATTTTAATTCCAACGTTTTGGTAACTAAGACGAATGACTTTTCCTACTATCAAAACAGTTGCTTATCACGACTTAATTAATTATCTGTACTTAATGAATGGCTGCCTAGCCGGCCGGTCGACCGTTACGATATTACTGTGCCTTTACGACGCTACCGCCACACATACAGCTAAAGAAGTGAAAATAAGATTATTAATGTACACGTAGGGCGAGTATACTACTGACTTCATTATGCTCTGGACACTTTTGTTAGTTAGGTGTGATAATTTTTTATGACCCCCATTCGTCAACGTTGTCTTTGCCCTCAGCATAACTTGTGCTGTAAATCTGTCAACCAAAGGAAAAACAAAAACAAACCAAATATCTATGTACGTACATATGTACATACCTTGCCGATGATGCAATTTGGCATGCGAGAATATAAATAAGCCAAGTATAACATACATACATACATATGTATGTATCTATATAGTTTGACTCTAACATTCAAATTATAAATTCCCACACACATACGCACACTCACGTGCATGTGTGCACATATGTGTATAACTATGTGATCGCCTGTTACGGGGCATCCGGCGCAGTCGCCGTCGGCACACGCCTAAGTAGTTGCTGTCACTTAAGTCGAGGGAGCGGCTCTTTGCCAATGTGTATGGGTGTGTGTGTGCATGAGTGTGTGTGTGTGTGTGCGTGCAGGCGAGAGAGCGGCCTGTTTCGTGCTCTTTGCGATTTGGCAAACTGTTGAGCGCGTTAGCGAAAGAGAGTGGAAGAGGGAGAGCGGTAAGGTTGCCAGCGGCCACATAGACAAACAGGTAGATTCTATACAACTGACAAACTGACAGCTGGGCTCAGCTATAGACTGCGGGAAGAGATGGGACGGGGAAGCGCGATTTTTAAATTCCAAAGCTGCGCGACTGCGAACGAAATGTTAAAGTTTGAGAATGGCTACATACATACATATACGCTGTTCGCATTTTACGAAAGGAGTATTTTGGTATCGCATGTCTAATCTTTTCTAATGCATTAAATAATTATTTTAAAAATCACAATTTGCAATACAAAGTGAAAAAAATCAACGATGAATTCGACAGTTATTGATTATTTATTTAAAACCAAGTCACTATCTTAATTGTTGCTATCATTCGCTGTAGTCGATATTTTAGTAGTCACTGTTTTAGGGGCGCGACCTTTGCGTTTCAAGCAATTTAAATGTATTACAAGCAGACTTTCTGAATGGCTTGCACGTGTAACAGAGTATCGCGTAGTCGCTTACACCTGTTTTAAAATATTTACTTGTTGCGTTTGTACCTTGTGCTGAGCATGGAATGTGGCCTGAGTCAGAGCCGCAGCCACTGCGCAATATTTAAACCCACAAAGCAAGCTTGTTGGCTGGCTGACTGACTGACGGGCTAATGTGGATGCTTATAGTAAATTCCGACATTTTCACTTTCAGCTAGTGAGTCCGGATAAACATTCACATTCACCATTGCCAAGATGGTCAATCATCATTCAAATGGTGGCGGCAGCGCCGGCAATAGCAGCGGAGGCGCCCATGGTGGTGCTGGCGGCGATTACTCCGGCGACGATCGCAGCGGTGGCGAAGAACGAGAGCGATTGGATGGCATGGATTTGCATGATAAGCCCACATATCTGCTCGAGCATCTGGCCACGTTCACCGTGAACAAGGAGTCGGGCATTGTGTATCCAGCGGACGGTATGCGTCGCCTGCTGCAGCTGGAGAAGACAACGGGCATTTGGTCGCAGAAGATGCAGCTCTGCTTGGACTATCAATGGGTGCTCATTATGGATTACGAGACGGGGGTAGGTAAATGGAACTGCAGCTAACGATAAACTTTATTAACGAATCCCCTTTCTTGAACAGAACATCATCGAGAGATTTCCCGCTTCACTGGTGCAGGAGCCAACCGCCTTCACATCTAACGATGCCATGGAGCTTTACAATAATATACTGGTCTTTATTGTCTCGGGCGGTGGTGGTTCACGCTCCGAAATGCACATATTTCAGGTGAGTAATCTGCTTAATCCTTAGAAAGCCACACGATTTTATTCAATTTCATCTTTTCTCCGCCAGTCACAAAGCGTTTCTGCTGTTCATTTAGTGGAGGACTTGAAGCAGTTGCGCAGCGGTAAAATGATCACACAACAACGTGGCGCCACGCCCACACAGCATACGAGTGGCGCCTCTGGTTCCGGCATGGCCGGCATGATGATGAGCAAAACATCGTCCTCCTCATCGCACAGTCGCATGGAGCAGCATCATCAGCGTGAACAACGGGATCGGGAGCGCGGCAGGGATCGGGAAAGGGAAAGGGAGCGGGAATTGCATGTGCAGCATCATATGCATCAGCGCAGCAGCGTGGATCAGTATGGCATGCGGGGCTCTGGAGCTGGCGCGGTCACTGATGTGGATATTGGCCCCAATGGAGAGACGGACTCCGAGCATGGTTGCGTCAATGATCGCGACGAGACAAGCTCCACGTCCAGCGAGAAATACGAACGGGATGTGGCCGTGCTGAATCATTGCTTCGATGACATCGAAAAGTTCATTGCACGGCTGCAGCACGCGGCTGCCGCCTCGAGGGAGCTGGAGCGGCGTCGTCGCAATCGCAAGTCAAAGAAACGTGATCCTGGCGAGGGCCTCCTCACGTTGCGCACCCGGCCGCCGCACGAAAAGGAGTTCGTGGATATATTTGCAAAGTTCAAGCTTTCGTTCAATTTGCTGGCCAAGTTGAAGGCGCACATCCATGATCCCAATGCGCCGGAGCTTGTGCATTTTCTATTCACACCACTGGCTCTCATCGTGGAGGCATCCAGCGATACCTACTACGAGTCGCAGCTGCCGTCGCGCGTGGTCAATCCCTTGCTCACCCGCGAGGCCATCAATTTGCTAATCAACTGCGTCACCAGCAAGGAGACCGAGCTGTGGCGCTCCCTGGGCGATGCCTGGGTCATACCACGCGACCAGTGGAAGGAGGATGTTGGCTCCTATCATCCGGTCTTCCTCGATGGCTGGTCACCCGATTACTTAGTCATTGACGAACTAGAGGCCACATCGCCCACGCACGTCAGCAAGCGTCGGCTCGAGGTGCAGCCGGGTCCGGGCAGCCATCTGTCCGGTCTGAATGGACGTGGCGCTGCCGGCGGCTACGATGACTACGACACGAATGGCATTGGCATCTCGCTCAGCGAGAAGTACACCATACACCATGGCAACGATCGGGATCGTGAACGGGAACGAGATCGATCCGGTGCAATAAGTGCCTCCGATTTCAATGCACGCAGCGAGCTCTCCTTTGACTCCATTGAACGTGGCAGCGGCGGAGGCGGCGGTGGTGGCATCCCTTCCAGTGGTGCTGGCCATGGCCCCACTGCTGGCCCCACACTCAGCGCTATTACAGCGGGTCTACAGAATTTACACACACGCGACTCCCGCAACGTGAGCAGCTCAGGCGGCAACTATGGAGCGAGCGGCGTTGGTGGCGGCGTCTCCGAGATATCCGCCGTCACAGCACGCGGCGTGGCCAATGCAAATGCTAGCGAGGATCAGCTGCTGGAAGCCTGGCTAGAGGATCTGCAGGCAGCGGGCGCTAAAATTGTTCTGGTCACCTACCCACGCACCGCCAACAATGACAAGGAGCTGAGCGTGATGCGCGGTGAATACTTGGAGGTGGGTGTACGATATACATACATACATACATATATGTGTATGTGCAGGGAATATATTATAAGTGGACCTATTGGCCAAAGATTTTCGTGTATCGAAAGTAAATTTTAATTTATACGATCGGAGAATCTTTTTAAGAAATTTATATCTTTTAAGCAGTATACATCAAATTATCTATAGATATAACGTTTGTTCCAATCCTCAGAGCACTACTTTAAGTGATAAAACTTTAGATCTACTTGTATATAGATCCACGTGTACAAAGTATCGTGACTTTGTTCTTTAACTCATTTCACTTATCAGATTCCTCTTTATTTTACTTACATGACCTGTTTTGTTTATTTCAGATTCTGGATGACACCCGGAAGTGGTGGAAGGCGCGCAATATACGCGGCCAGGTGGCCCATGTGCCGCACACGATTGTCACGCCCTTCAATTATGGCGACGGGGATGGCGGCAATGGTCAGTTCTATGGCCAACAACAGCAGGTGGCAGCGAATAAGTCACGTCATATGTCACCAGGCAATGTGGTAAGTCGGCCCTCTAAATCCAATTGTACCTCAGCTACTTAACAGTTATTTCCCTTTATTGCAGGACAATCCGAGCATGGATCAACGTTCGCCAGATGCCACGGATATGATACGTAGCAAGCACCTGGGAAAGAAGGGCGAATTCCGTTACTTTTAAGAAAACTGCTTTCATAATCTAATCCAATATGAGCGAATAGTTGAACCTGACCTGCGAACAGAATTTGAAAGGAATGAACCCTACTTAAAAGCCTAGTTTGTAGCTCCGTTTCGATTTGTATATGTGTGTTTTATTATCAAAATGAAAACTCGAAACTAACCGTAAGACTAACTATAAGTTGTACTTCATCGAAGTTTAGCCAAACACACACATACACACACACACACACACACTCAGCATCACAGTAGAGTGCCCATACCATATGGTATATACATATTGTTTATAAAGAGAGTGGGACTGGCGGCGAAAGCAATCAATTGTTTAATAAACCCTGGTCCTTGCAATAACTAAAGGAACCTAAATAAATAAAAAGTTGATTTAATCGTTTATCGATAATTCAAATGTTTCTTGTTATAGGTTATTGTTGGTTTATAGCAGGTATACATACATATGTTGGTATATTAAAAGCTGAATAGTTACTGTCTATGTATAATTTAAAGAGTTTATAGTTGTTATTGTCTTATCGATTCCTTATAAAACCTAAGTTGGTTGAGAAATCTTTGTTCCCTGGAAATTTGAAGAAAATTATTATATTCTCCATGACTTTTTTTGAATGAATTCGATTTATTTAATAAACATGCTAGACTACAGGTAGCTAATTAACTGGTGTATTAGAAAAAAATGTCAACGATTGCAACTAGAGAGATTCCAAAATTCGACAATTCCTCTTTAGATTATCGACAATTTCTCGACACGCGAGAGCAATGGGGAATCCGAGTGATATTCCAAGCTCCTGACCGAAAAGTCGCCCACTTCATTGGTAAAGCACTTGAGCGTAGAAATGGAAAACGGACGCAATGGGAAATTGTAATAGGTAAAATATTGTCCATTGACGGCAATGAGGAACGAGCGATCGCCAATGCCGAAGGCGATCTTAAAGAGTTTGCCACGCACAAACGGAAATTCGCCTTCGGTTTCTTCGTCGTCAGGGGCATAGCTGGGCCGAGGGGTAAAAAGAGAGATTCAGAAAATTGTATATAGAACTGAGTATTTGCACCCACCTGTTGTCCTCACGCTGATAGGAGCGCGATACGGTCGTCCTATCGAAGTTCACATGGAACTTGAGCACCATGCGACCCGTATCGTTGCACTGGAAGCAAATGGAAAACTCCGTAGTGGGTGGACCCTTGGCAATGCACTCCATGGCCACAACGGTGCCCGTCTCGTAGCGCCTGGGCACATCGCTCTGAAAGGCCACACGATCGACGCACATCAGGCTGCGAGGAAACACCAGGGGGAACAGCATGCGATGATGGAACTGGGTGATCTTTTCGAAATCCCCATAGGCACGCACATAGTTGATTTGCTTGGGAAATTTGACGAACTCGAACGACCCATACAGCTGGTCATTCACATAGATCTCGAAGCAGCGCTGCAGTACGGCTACGCGAAAGGTGAAGCACTGACCCGGCACTAGCGGATTCTTGGGTCCGTCACATTTCCAATTCTTGGAGATCTCCTCCTGCTGCCAGCCCTCGCCTGGCTGGAACATGCTGCGTATGATCTGGCCTTCGCGAAAATTGGCCTCGATTTTGAGGAAAACCGTTTCGCTTTCATTCTGAGCATTCACATTATCCGTCAAGTCCAACGAGATTCTGCAAAGATTTCCGTTTACCTCATCGACAATGAAGAGTTAGCAAAAAATATTTGTTGCCTACTTATTGGGATGCGGCTTGACTTTGCCGCTAAGGATGACCACATGACCGAACGGCACCTCCGTCAGCACTTTAGCCTTCCAGATGTTCATTGCGATTCAACTGCTGCAATGCAACTGATTCGTTGATTCGTTCCTTCACTCAGCTCGCAGACATTTTGTGCCTTTGTGTAGCTCTGTTTTATGTGATGTTATATGCTAATAGATTTGCCATTCATTGGCTTTCTACATTTATTATGATTATGTAAAGCGAAATGAAGAATTACCTGCAGCCGCATGCAAACTTGACATGGACACACGGTAAGGTTAACCCGTCATCGAAGGACCCTTCCACGTTCTCCCTTCCACAGGCCTTTGTATAGGCCTTTGGGCCGCAGCGTACCCGCTCTTGACTGCACTGAACTGAACCTTGTGCCTTTATTTATTTGATTCAATCCTTGCCTTTGTAACCCATAACTGTCATCCTGAAGCGCTTTTCACGGTTGTTGGCCCTACGCCGACACCGACGGCGACGCCGACGCCAACGCCCCCGCCTCCTAGACAAATTATTAGCCAGTTACCTGGGCTATTGTTGTTGCGTGTCTTTCAGCGAAATAAAACAAGGCAACAATTGATTCCCTGTCTAAAGTTTTTGCATTTACCAGCTAGCAACACGGCCCTAAGCTCGGGGCCACTCATCATCGTCGTCATCATCATCATCAACAGCCTTCTTGGTAGCTCTCTTTTGGACAGGGAATTCATTTTCGTTTCTTTTGACGTTTCTTGGCACCCACGCCTCCTCGACGCCAATGACATCGAAGTAGTTGCTCGACTCGCATCTAGTGGGAGTAGTCGATTATATGTATATATAGATGTGGCACGTCCTCGTCTGTCGTTTGCACCTGATCGTCGTGAAATTGTGTTTCAACAAGGCTCTACGAGACTCTGCACGGCTCTGCAGGGTTACGTAGATAGGTCCCAAAATAATCATTTAATTATGACTCTGTTTGGCAATTAGCAAGAAAATCGTAATCATAAATTCAATTATCCACTTGTTTATAGTTCATTGAACCTTACCCCCCGGGGCCTGACCTTGTCGACCTCACCTCCGAAAAACGAAGGGCTGCCACTGCTACAGAACTACAGCTAATGAAGTAATCGTGTCGATTTCAACTTTAATTTCCGCTTGTCACTCGTGCTGATAACTCGAGCAAGGTTCTGTGTACGTTGCACAATTATCAGTTTCCATTTCAGTCTAAAAACCCTCACGCCCATATATACTCGTATGTATCTATGTATGTACATACATACATACGACAAGCCACGTCGTCGATGGAACATGCATTAGCTTAGGGGCCCCGAGATTCCCTGCCTCGTTATCGTCAATACAACCCAAATAAATCTTACAACCGTACCTCGGGCATGTCGAATGACTTTAAAGCAGCCAACGACACGTCTACAAAAAAAAAATCAGATTTTACACTCGCCCGATGGGACGGGCGCTGTTAGGGGTTAGGGCTACGGCTAGGGGGTGTATATCGTGCAAAGCAATAATGGTAATAGCTTTATGGCCTATGCTATGGCTGTCCATAAAAGTGCTCACTAAAACAGTAGCCCAACTCGATCGTCAATATATATATATATATATACAAGTATATATACATATGAATATACGCTACAGCTATTGCTAGGGTATCGATAGAGAGCTATAGCTGCTCTCCCTCTCTCTTTCGCTCTTTCAGATTCTATACGGGCGCGCAATCAGTTTAATGTTCAGATTAGAAGCTGACTGGCTTGCATATATCTCGTATCAGTGTCATTATCAATGGAAGAGAGAGAGAAAGAGAGTGAAGGAGAGAGAGAGAGCCTCAGCTTGTGTGCAACTTGTATGTGATTGATTGTGGAGGTAACGGTCTGCTTATCTCTGTCAGCGATTCTTCGCTCAGGTGCCAATAAACGTTACCCAGCCTAGGGCTCGCTCCTCGATCGAATTTTGATTTGGCAGTTGATGACGTTGACAAATAGCCAAAAACGATTTGGACTTAACTGTGTAAATTAGTTAGGTACGTTCACACACACACACACACAGATACAGTGACACCTGGCCAGGTGGTCGCAGGCGGCCCACCACGTGGCGTTTTATCGGGCGTGAAAATAACTTAAGCCAAACGAACAAACTTTTTGCAATGCTTTTCGAACAGTTTGCATTCCCTTGGCCCAAGTAATTCGCAGCCCCCCAGGAGCACACATTGAACAGGAAAGTGCCGCACCGTCTGAGCACACCACACAAAATTGATATTGATTGGGATTGGATCGTAACTCCTCTAACGATCGCACCTGGGCAGCGCGTGGCACTATGCACTTGTCGCGTATCGAAACGTAACTGAAACGTTGGATTTGTCGATGAAATTTAAAACGTCAACGCTGCTTGGCGGGCCACGAAGTTGTCGATCGCTCGAACCGAGCGAGTGCTCCCTGGGCTGATATGAATTGCAAGAGCTGGAGCACACAGACAGGCCCAAGCACACACACACACACACATATGCGCACCTGTGCTGATGAAAGGAGAAAGAGGAGGAGTTTCGAGTGTATATGTGTGTGTGTGTGTGTGTGTGTGTGTGTGTGTGTGTAGCCAAGACAGAAAGCAAATAAATATGAAATATTGAACGCATAAATGTGGGACAAAAGTGGGTAATTTTTTATATTTTTTGTTGTTGTTTTTAGATAGCAATACGACAGAGTCTACAGGTGTGCAGGCGATACCTCTGTGTGTGCTTGTGCGTGTGTGTGTGTGTATTGACTATTAAGTTAACGATACCCAGCTGGAAATGCAGTCCTCAATCAGTAGTAGCTCACTCTAGTTGCCATGTCAGCCTGATATGCTCACTGACATGTCAAGGAATCTGTCATGCTGCTGAGAACACAATTCACTTAAAGTAAGAACAAGAATTCAAGTCTTAAGGGTTGAAGAATTCTATATGCTAGAATACGATTTCAGCTAAAACATGCATTTATAATCAAATATTTATAATATAAATATATATAATATAAAATACTTTGGCTACATAGATACAATGTGGTACTTGAAAAAAATTATTTGTGTTTCTTTTTGAGAACTCGCTAAGAAGCAAAAGGACAGAGACTATAATTTTAAATGAAAAGAAGCTATATAAAATATGTCATATGTACAGTAAGCAAAAAACGCCATGAATATAATAAAGTAGATCTGTGATTATAAATTTAAAATTAAAAAATTTTAAAATATAACATTTTAATAAAAAAATATTTTTATTATACGGTATAATATCATTTATTAATATTTATTATATCCATCTTATATATACATTTATATTATTATGAATCAAAATGATCTAATTATACTTCTAGGTATAATATTTAAGGTCGAAGATTGTATTCTTCTATGGATGCCCGTATGCTCATTGATTAGCTTCAACTTGAAAACTAGTTCAGACAACTCCGAATAGATAGCTTCTTTGACCTGATGGTAAAGCTACATAGCAAATCTTTCTATTCCAAGGCTACCCAAGTTAAAATTAAAAAAAAAAAATACTAATTTTGCAAAAACAAACATAAGAGATATGTGTATCAGCTCGAGTGCCCCACTTACAATCATGACGAGCCTTCAAAGTCTCCTGCATATAGCTAATGACAATGTCACTTAGCTCAATCATGTTCAGGTGTTGCATGTGTAACGCATTTTCCATTGGGCCTAGATGCAATTGTCTGGTCTTGACGTAGGAAAATGAAATGGAAATGTCGCTAACGACAAGTTTAAACTGTTTTGTATGTCGCTTGTGTGCATTACAATTTGTCTCAATAGATTTCGAGACGGGAGAGCTCGTCTTATCAGCAGCCGCAGCAGGTAGTTGCTTTATATCTACATACATATATACCTGAGTAACTGTGCGGGTGTGCGAGTGTGTGTGTGTGTGCTGCTTCATAACACAAATGACTTCAACTCAAATTGTTGTTTGCTATTTGCTCGACATACATATGACGGCAACAAGCGAGTATTGAAGACACGTTTGCATTGGTATAGAGTAGATAGACGAGTGTTCTCTTCTTTTCAGTGGCTTTATCAACGAGCATGTCATGTACTCTTCTTCTTTTTTTGTTTTTTGTATGTGGAGTAAAACCTCATAATTTTCTTTGATGTTTGCAAGAGCCGTAGTGTCATTAATTGATTTATACTAACATCGATTGCCATAGACTGTCCCTTAGCTGTCTGTCCAAATGTCCATCGATCTATCAGTCTGTCAGTCTCTCCCTTGACACTGGATATCAATCGTGATCGATCTGTGAGTCGATTGCATTGGGTCATGCAGCAGTTGCAACACCACATAATTGCCAACAAATTTGGAGTACAATTTGGTAATGTGTTTACTCTTCTCTTGAATTGTTGCTGTTGTTGTTGCTTCTTGTTAGCATCTTGTGCTTTGAGATACCGACAAACATGCCACAGAACTTACATTTAGTAAATTGAGATACAATTTAGTTAGTTGCGATAGGATTGCCAGCTTTTGGTTAGATCTTGTGTGGTGCTTTCCCATTGGATACACCTGTCACTGGCTGCACTGGGTGTTTATTCGTTTTGGGTTCTTGTTGACAGTGGGGAAAAAGCATACAACTCGCATTTTGTCATGTGTGTACATTTGTTTGCTGTCTATTTATTCAGCTTGTGAATTGAATTCTTTTTTTCTGCTAAACTCCAGTTGTTCGAGCGACACGTCTTGCCTTGACTAGTAGAATTCCATGAATTTGTCAATTGCGACGACTTTCGCCAGTTGCTGTGTAGCTTTTGCTGCTGGCCTCCAACACATCATGCATAATCAGGTCATATAGATTTTCCTCCTCCTTAGCGTCATCGTCGCCCACATTTACTTGGCCGGATAGCTCCTGTTTCTTTGGTTTGCTGTTGCCTGTGCTTTTGTGCTCTTGTTTATTGAGGCTCGCCAGTTCGTTTTTATAGTTCTCTAGAGCACGCTGTAGCAGCTTTTCGACAGGCGAATACGTAGAACGTGAGCGTAAACGGGCCTTTGCTATTTCTAATGACTGTAAAATGATACAATGATCCAATATTAATTTACTTAAATTGACTTCATGTACTGAAAGTGAAATCACCTTTAGGGTATTCGCATTTCTCTGTAATGCTTCTTCGTAGGATAAAACTTTGGGCGACTGTGTGGATATTGCTTTCTCTGCCAATTTTTCGCTTTGACGTTCTAGTTTTAGTTCCTCAGCTTGCCTGCAAGATGAACAATTGTTAAATATTTTTGAAAATCCGTTAAACCCACTGCGAGCAAAAGCAACGGCATCTATCGGCAATTAAGCGTACTAAAATGCCATTCATATTGAGTACTGTTACTCTGTACTCCGAGCACTGTTAACCGGCTGTTATCGAATTTATTATTTAATATAAATATAAGTAGCAGCGAATGAAAAACATTTGATTTACTTCGATATTCACAGGGTATATAAGACGAAAAAACTCGAAATGTAATTTTATAAACGGCCAAATTGTATGCTAAGCTTTAACAGCTTTAATGAATAAAGTAGAGACACACTGGCCGCCCGGCAAATATTCTTGATTACTTTTCAAATATACATAGCAGTTTCAAGTTCACTTACACCTTTTCCAGTTTCTTATCAATCTCAGCCTCCAGTGCTTGATACTTTTCATTTATTTCTTTTATTAAATCCATTTAAAATGCAATGCGTCTAATTCGAGTCATTAAAATATTAAAGTGAAGCTAAACAAACACAAAAGGTTGCTAGGCAACGTTGTGTATTCAGTGTTGTCTAATTGTCAAAAAAATTCAATATTTACAATGTAACCAAAAGAAACGTTTAAATTTTGTAATACTGGTTAAATCATAATGCATATAATTATCTAACTATTATAGTATCAAGCCTGCTACTTAATTAATTCGTTAACTGTAGGATTAACACAATGCGTAAGATCAACTTACGTTAAATGTTCACTTTTTACGTTAAATGTTAATCTGAGCAACTGAACAAAACGGGTATTTACATTTACATATCTTCTATTACTTATTTAAGAGAAATTGATTTATGTGCGGCGCCACTCGTTCGGGCGTCACCAGGTGCAGGTGGTGTGTGCCCGGCACTTCCACGTAAACCACATGCTCAGCATGTTGCTTAAGTGTTGCAATTACCTCCGCGTAAAATTCGGGCATCTCGAACTTCATGCCCGGCACTCCACGAATGTTGAGCACTTTGCAACGAATCTGTCGTGCGTAGGCCAGCGTTTGCTCTTTTGTGAACAGGCCCAGCAGGCTGACTTTGAGACGCAGATCACGGGAGAAGAGGTAGCCACTGTGATTGGGCTTCATGCCGCGCCGCATCAAAACCCGCACAGATTCATCATCCACGGATCCATCGTAGGCATCCAAAACTAACTTGATCATCTCCTCATATGAGTAGCAGGGCTGTTTACTCTGCGGCAGCGTCTCATAGTCCAGAAACTTGTCCAACGCCTTGCCGGTGCCCTCGGCCATGCGGCTAACGCCCCTCACCGTTGGTCCAGCGATATCGATGTTGATCAGCTTGTGCACCTCGTTGGGGAAGCTGGCAGCATACATGAAAGTAAGTGCGCCGCCCAACGAGTGACCCAACAGCGTGACGTCCTTCCAATTGTACTTTCGCACAATGCGCCGGATCAGGCAGATGCCATCCCAGAAGATGAAGTACTGCATGCCCTGCGGATAGTGCGACGAGTGTCCATGCCCCGGCAAGTCAATGGCCAGCACTGAAACGTCTGCCGGCAGCAGTGGGCAGAGTCTATCGAATGAGCCACAGTTATCCTGCCAGCCATGCAGCGCCAGAATCGGTTGCCTATTCCGTGAGCCCCACCATTTGCCTGTAAAATAAGACGTCATTAGAGATTGCATCTACATATATACATATGAATACATTTGAAATTAAATAGTAAATTTACATGAGAAAGTCTCGTGAGACGTTCAAGAATTTCCTTGACTCTGTTATGTCTACGGCGGAAATGTGATATGGATGCTAATCAGCTGATTATAACATATACGGCTGAAATTTAGAGATGATCACACCTCCGATCACATCTATTATATTTGCCTAATCAATTCATGCCATATTATTTGCAGAAATCTATACGAAAATAGTCAATCACTACAGGGTAATATCTGATCAGATAGGCTTGAACACGCGCAGCTTGTTGTTGTTCTACGATACCTGTTGTTGTACTATTGTTGTTGTTGCTGTGCTTGCTATTCAAATAATCCGCAATCGCAGCCATAGGAAGCGTGCGTCTATGAGTCGTGTGTGCGCAGATAAGCTGATTGATGGTGACTCAGCATAGCCATGCTGAGCGTTAGAATTGAAGGCTGAGGCTTTTGCTCAACGACTTACCTGTAACAGTTCCCCAGGGCACATCGATGGAGAATTCCTCCCAGCTGTTTTCGCCCAACGTTGGCATTGAACCGTCTGAAAATGTCAAATTAAAGTTTCGCATGAGCAAACATACATACGTTAATATAACAACAGGTTTATGTGCCAGATTTTGTTGCTGGATTTGCTAGTTAGCTAATCACAGCTGGTTCATAAACGCTGGTGAAATCGCTGGCTGTCTGGCTGTTGGTATCAAACTTTGGACCACGGGTCGCAGAAATTGCCCAATTCACTCACTTGTCTTAGCCGTCATTGCGTCGTTCAAAGAGGTTGTTGTTGCGACTCGCGCCTGTGCCATGCTTTGGAAGGGACGCTTCGGAGCGGATAGCGAAACACTCGTAAACAATGAAATTTCGCTACTGCGGCCACAGTCTGAGCGGTTATTTTGTGTAAGCAATAACAGCACTGTTAAGATAACATATCCGCGAAATGTTACTAACATCGTGCAGTTGGACCACTGCTAAAAGTCTAATTCCCATTTCTTAGTTTTTTTTCTGAAATCATAAACAAAACAAAATCTATTTAGTCTCATACAGTAATAGGAATTAAGTTGGCTATAAATTCACATACATTCAAATTTAGCTGCTGAACCATGCTACGCAAATATTTGGAAAATTAACATGACCATATTGAGTAATTAACTGATAAGACATATGGAACAGCGAACTAGCTAACTTTTTGGTATTAACAAAACATCAATAATTGAATGAAGTTAAAAAATAAGCAAGTGATAACAAATAAGTTACGTATATAAATTATTTTGAAATTTGTTACAACCAAAAATTTTTTTAATTCAAGCCATCTTTAGCAGCCTAACATTATTTCATATTATTACAGTAACAGTTACTGCCACCCATCTGCTAACCGCCATCTGAGCAGCACTATTTCGATCAGCCACGCGCTTTACAGCACTACTGCGCCCAAGCAAAGCAAATATAGAAAATAAAGTAAATAAATAATATTTAATCACAATGTAAGTAAATTGATAAAATATTAATTACTAGTTGCATACAATACAAT